TTGGAGGCTGCACTGCTTGACTTGGAGCAGCTGCAGGGCGCTTCATGACTTTGCCCTTGCAACCCTTGCTATTGAGCAAGGCAAAGGCTTCAGCTTCAACGAACTCCAAGTGTTTGGCAGGAGGTTGATCATTGCCATGCAAATCCTTGCTGGTGGGCTGTGCTGTGTCTGCATCAACCTTTGTAGTGGGGTCTGCAGCCAACTTTGTGCATGAACCACCATTCACAGGAGCAGGTTCCTGCCCACCATCATTTTGCTTTGCCACAGGCAAGGATGTGGAACTGTAGGCACTGCCCATTCCCAAGCTTTCATTGCTTGAAGACTCAAGGGCATGCTTTTGGCCAGCCAAGAACTGAAGCTTACATTCATCCGTTCTTTAGCTTTCACAACCATATTGCTCATCATCTTCATCATGTCCATGAAGCCACCCAAGGCAGGCTGCATGGCTGACAGACCCGACTGCTCTGCCTGACCTTTTTGCCTTGTCCTGACTTTCAAAGTTGCAGCCACTGAAACAACAAGCCCAGACATTTCTGCTGGAATGTCTGCTGGAGGATCATTTGGGTCATAGACATTTTTCAAGAAGTCATTCCCAAGCTCCTCTAGCTTCGTGGAGTACTTACAAAAGCCACCAACAGCAGGAACTTTCATTGAGGCTTTGAAAGCTTCTTTCACACGGTCAACAAGCTTTGCAACTTCAGCAGCTGGAGGGAGTTCATGACCTTGCTTCTTTTGCAAGGCCAGCAACAAAGCTGTGACAGATTTCTTTGTATCTTCCTTCAAGCTTTTCACACCACACAGCTTCATGCGACCAACAATGATGGTGCAAGCTTCCATCAGTGTCACCTTTCGAACTGTCTCCCATTCTCCTTTGGAGATGTAGCACTGGGGCCTTCTGTGGTTTGCACACTCTTCTCTTCCAAGGCTTCTGCTAGCTCCTCCCTGATTTCATCAGTCAGCTTGGCAGAGTCCAAAGCCTTCATCAAAATGACATATGATGAAGGTGGTATGGAAGGAATGGCATGCATTTTGCTGGCCAAAGTCTTTGTCATTGTTTGTATCATCCTTGACTCCTTCCTCATGGATAGGATGACTTCCAAGTGCTTGATCTCTTTGAACAAATCCTCCACATTCCACTGGGCCATGGTGCTACTACAAAAGGTACTGAAAACACACTGCAGTGTACAGTACAGCTCCATGATGACATTGTTGTGGCTTGTTATGTGTGTCATGGACTGCTTGCTGTGACTAACTCTATGGGCCCAGGCAGCTGAAACAATAGCCTTGTCAAAGAGCTGCGAATGTAAACAAAGCCACACATTGGCTGTCAAAAAAAACAAAACCACAAAGTACAAACAAAGCCAAACAAGGCTGAAATTGAAAAAGCCAGCACACATGTGTGCATCTGCAAAACAAACCCAACATTCACATTGTTGGTAAGAACCAAGGCCATAATGTATCTGCGTGGCATTGGCCTTGTCAAGCAAACTCTGCAAACCTTGTTCTCTCGGGGCGAGCATGGTGAGATTCAAATGTTTGCCGGTTCCAACATTCTGGTTCAGAGCGACCCCCAAACATAACATTTGCATCAACTGGGCGACTTGCGCAGGCAGGCCTTGGGTAGAAACCTGCATTGTGTTAGCCACATCTCGGCGCGTTTTCCTCAGAGGCACATTCCTTGCAATCGTGATGACATCCTCAAGCGGCCAAGGACATTCTGGCAGAGCCGATAGACCATTGGGACAGGTCACATCCTGAATCTCTTGTGGCGCCTCTGACGCATTGGATGGCAAGGTGGCCAGCAAATTCGGCAGGCGGCCACTGTTCGTCTTTTGCCTGGACATTTTGGCCTGCAGCTGAGCCTTGACATTACCTGAGCTGGCCAACACTTAAGGCATTCAACCGTTTGCTGGTGTTTGTTTGGATGGTCGAAAACAAATGCCCACAACTGCTAGGAAAAACATGTTGATAATTACTCTCTGCAAGAGGCAAAGAAGGCTTCGCAATTGAGAGCTGTCTCCCTGAAGTTCAACACGTCGATCGTTTCCTTCTCTTATCACCAAAAGCGCTACTAGCATGGCCTGGGTCTGTTCCGATGGAGTGCGAAGGCCCATGGACAGCAAGACATTGAGTAAAAGGTCCAGCGCGGTAACCATGTTATAGTCAGTTCTTCTCACAAAAGAATCCCACGTTTTTTGCGGGATGTACATTGGAAAAAGTTCCCAATGCTGCATAGGCTGCCGTCCCCTCACACCTGCATCGCTCGCCATGCGCGCACGTATATGGTGTTTTCACCGTATACGAGGAAGACCCCCAACCCTCTGAGGTGAAGCCAATGAAAAAACGCATGCTCCCCGTTTGCAATGCAAAATTCTGAAACAAGTGACTGTACCAAAAAATATATGCGACACCTTTTTCAAAACGGTGCACCCCAAACAAGAGCAAAACACATTTTAAAATGCTAACTTCTGTAACTTAGATATACGTTTTGCCGTCAAAATTCAAAGACTGTATATAACTTACTTATAAAAGACGTATTTTTAGAAACATAGTTGTATATGACTTATAAGTGTGTATGAACTTATCATATCTTAGACCATGTTATAAGCTATGTTACGACTAGTTATAACATATCTTATCCCTAGTTATAAGTTGGGTTAACTAGGGGGGGCGCTCATTGTAGGCCAAAGTGCTGACCTCTGGAGGTGTTCTTGACAATCTCGTGGGCTTCTCCCTCGCACAGTGAGATCAGAGCCTGTCGGGCCTGAGCTGAAACGAGCTCGGCTCCTTCAGAGTAATCGTCTTCCAGGGACGTCTCATTGATCTCTGTGTCTTGATGCTCTTCGAGGAGCTGAATGCACTTTCCTGCGTTCTTGTGACTTGTCTCAATCCAAGTCTTGAACTTGAAGTGCCATGAGTCCCAGGTACCTGTGTCCATTGAGCTTGTCAGGCTTTGGCATGCCTTTCAATTCTGATCTGTCTCGTACTTCCACGCTGGTTGCTATGTTCCTTGTGATTGCCGTTTGCTGGGTGTATGCTTCTGCCATTGCTCGTTGCAGTTGATTCTGCCCTTGTGCTAATGCTTGCATCATCTGTGCAAATTGCTGTGCCATGTCTGTAGCTTGTTGCGCCTGTGCTCCTGGCTGTTGTGCCATGTTGACTTGCTAGCCAGGGATTGAACAAGTGATGTTTGTATTCACGGATCTCCCGTGCCAGAACCGATGCAGTTCGGCAGCCTTCGATCTGCAGACGGTAGCCGGGTCTTAGAACCGCGGCTCCATGAACGGAGAATTTAGACTCACAAACGTAGTGACTTGGGGTCACAGTCCCAAACGTTAGATTCAAAGCTTAGGCACACTTTTAGCTCACGCTTGAAGTAAGCAAGTAAACCCAAATGAACACAAACGTGATCCCAAACGGCTGCAGTGAAACATACATCCATACACAACTATGGCACGTACATGTAACTGGTGCTACATCTGATCAACAAACACAAATCACACAATCCTAAACACAAACACAACCACAACACACAGCAACGAAGACACATCCACAGCACACAACCACAAACACAAGCACAACCACAAACATAGTCACAAACACACACACACCTACAATAATCACAGCCACAGCACGCAACCACCAAGACACATCCACAGCACACAACCACAGCGCACAACCACAACAATACCCTTGTGTTATCAACAGGTTGCCTAGGCATCCTGAAAAATAGAAAAGAGTACTCTGGGCATACCTCTGCAAAGATCTGTTGACAACATGAGCATGGGGGACACCAGAAGTACCAAAATAGAGTTCCCATGTTGAAAGCAGCAGAAAGTCAGTGGGCAAAGCCAACCTAACCAAAATTCTTGAATGATTAGGTTGGGCACCCCACCCAAAATAGAGGTGTCCCAAAACCGAGACCACGAATGTTGAAAACCACCCTCTATGCAACACAAACCCTCTGAGTCTCAGGTAGACCTCAGCCTATTCTACCTTTGCAGCAGGTTTCCAGAAGGTTTCCAGATTACCAGACCGAATCATGGACGAGGGTTTGGGCCAATGTGATTCAATCTCTTTACCTCTGAACAGCCATGGTGCTGGTGATGCTCCTTTAGACCTTTGCTTGCCTAGCATTTTCTGGGCGCCGCCTCTCGCAAATCAAATCATGGAAGAAGTTTTGGGCCAATCATGATTCAGGCCACTAAACCCTAATAAACACTGAGAAGGCCTGGTTTGGTGGCAGGATTTCTGTTGTAGAGGTTGGGTCCCTGGTGACTTCAGGTTGTGGTGGGGGGTTAGTGGGTTGTGGTTGTTGAAGCTTCTTGCGCCGGACTTCTGGTGTCCACCATAATTAAGTGCAGTGCAGAGCGTCAAGCAAAAACTCGAAAAATAAAAGCAGGTTGACCAACAGTCAGCCAGCACCTCCACCTTGGCCTTCCCAAGCAACATAAACACTTTATGTCTCAGGTAGGCCTTAGGCTGTGTTGCATTCTACCTTTGCAGCAGGCGCCTCCATCACAGTCCCATTGGTCCTATGGTTTTACACTTCAGGCAAGCATATCAACTAGCATCCTGAATATCATCTACAATAAGCTACTGCAGTATAGTTTAGTTAAGTTACCAGGGGGCCAACCTCATAAACAATTATCTGAGTGCCACCCTTCGCACATAATAAAATTGTCAAACGAAGCTGTTAAGCCTGGAAGGTAAGATTGTTACCTGGGCCCTCAAACTCAATAAAGTTCATAGGTTCGTATGGAGAAAGTTGCCCCTAGCTCCTGAATTTCATTAGACCGGTAGTAATAGATATCACAACACACAACCCGAGGACCCACAAGCGAAATCAAGAACCGCAAAACTCACGACCATGGTGACATGCTCCTCACCATGGCACGAAGACAAATGATTGACATGTCATGGTGGGGATCACTCGAAGTAACCTATATATATACATATATATGTGTGTATTCTTACCTTTTTAGTAAGCCCCCTGTGTCCTCCAATTCCAGGCATCAAAAGGCCCGTGTGCGAGATGGAGTCGATATTCTGCTGCTTTGTACCATGATAGGTGTAGGTGGTCACGCTTTCATATGTTTTACCTTGGCTCTTTCATTTACCTGCTTCCAAGCTCCTCTGATTAATAGACTAATAGGGGTCATGTCCGAGACATGTTTCTTGACGTTTTCGAGTGGAAAAAGGCATGAAAAGGTTTAAGGCAAATTAGACTTTGCAAGACTAGCGACGAGCGGATAGGAATCCCTCCTGCACATTCAACTCAGGATAAACTGGCTCCAACTTCACTTGGCCCAACTCCTTCATCACAGACTCTGCACACTTCTGATAGGTCTTGTTGAGAAGATTGGCCCAAGAGACATGAAGCTTTTCCAATCGTTGCGGAGCGGGTGCTTCATGATTTGCGCGAGTTGAAGCTAGTGCTTCCAAACAACAGTCCAGATTTGTCTCAAACACCATCTTCAGTGCTTTGGCCGATTTTGCAACATCTGAAGACTCTGGACACGCTCGCCTCAACCACTTGTAGTTGACTGGCAGCTTTCTCCTTTTCGGAGGTCGAGAAGACAAAGAAGCGGTTTGGTCCGTTAGGTCCGATGTCTCGCAATCAGCCATGCGGCAATAAGCTTCGGTCTTGAGCCTGACACCTCAAACAACGTCAAACGACCTGTGGCATTTGTTGACAAGACCTAGAGACTAAACTCCTTGTCATGTCTGCGACAGTACGACATGAAATTCCTCTCCTAAGCTGCAAAACCCTGTGATTGACCGGCTGCAACGTTGCGTTTGTATATCTTTTCAGGCTAAGGCCAAGACAAAATTGCCTCAGCAAGTAAATTCTCAAAGAAAAACCAAACGAAAGCAAATGAGCCGCCCGTGGTCTGCAGCGAGTTTCTCCACGCAAATCACAAATAAACGGCGAGCCTGTCGAACAAGCTGGACTTCCATCGTGATCATTAGAGCGCGGTTCAAGAGGAACAGGACTATGTATTCAGGGTTCTCGTTCCGGTACGCACCTCTCTGCACCTCTCTGCAACCATATATATATATATATATACACGCAAACCGTGTCACGATTCAAACATGTTCAAGTTTCAAATCCATTTGAGTGCCCCAATCCCCCTCATTGCAACATTGGATGTAATCTGTGTGGAGTGCGCAGGGTAGCGTAAGCTAGAAAGAAAACGCAGGGCAACGCGCAAGAACAACGCGCAGTGTTTTCTACGCTGATCGCTTGCGGCAAGCTGCGGTGCGGGTTCATGCATATATGCAATCATGTCAAGCTACCTATCTCTACCTAGCTACGATCTTCACATAGCCAGAATTCAAGTGTGTTGACGTGATTGCAGCTGTACATGCTGTACACAGGCAGGCGCTGCCTGCGAAGGTTCGCGGCGCTTCACGCGGTCCTTGCGACACTGTCGCTGCGCCTTCCTCAAACCCTTCAGACTGTGTTCCTCTAACTTCCGCTCGTCCTCGGTCTCCTTGAGAGAAGTCCTGGGGAGCTTGCCAAAGGTCTCCCATAGGCTGTACTTCATCTTCTTGGTCAACCCATCTGCATGTTGGCGGTTCATAGGCGCCTGACTCGAGGTGGTCGCGAGCCACCATCAAGTCGAGCATGGTCTGCCGCTCTGTTGGGATCTGTCCTGTTGTGCCCATGTGGTCATACATACAGGCTCTTGGCGTCAGTAACAACGCCTCCAGAAATCCCCATTGCGGTCCGCCAATTCATCCAGAGTCTTGTAACCATAGAGCATCATGTCGATGACAAGTCGACCATGCAAATGGCAGTCCACACAAATATGCTCATTGAGCATGCCTCGGCAGACATCGAGCTGCGCAGCACTCGCGAACTCTTGTTCGCGCTGAACTCAACGGGCGCGGTGGCGGCCGGTCCTGTGCGAGCCACTGCAGTGGTAAGAAAGTGAACGGCACCCAACTGTGACTTTCCATCGGACTCCTTTCCGAGGGATGCATCGAAGTAGCTGACATAGAACCACTTGTTGTTCTTGTCCAGCGGTGGCTACGTCAACCTGGCTCGCCCAGCATTGGGTTTCACTGCTCCTTGTACTCGGCATAGGTCGCCTTTGTCACCCTCTGAGCCAAGTTCGAGACTTCGTACAGCATGTGCGGCATAGTCTGCTGCGCTGGCCAAGACGAAGTCGCATGACCAACTGGCGGTACAGCGTGACTGCTGCTGCCTCCCTTGGTGCTTCTGTAACATTGGAGGCTTCTTCTGATGGTGCTGGAGCGTCTGCTGCCGGTCTTTGCAGGCCTGCTCTTCCTCCGGCGCCGCCGGTGCTCTTCTCCAGCATGGGCCTCATTGGCCTCACCCTCGGATCGACGGCGCCGCCGCCTTTCACGGGCACGTTCTGGCTCAGGCGCTGGCTCTTCCGTCTTCTCCTCTGCTGTTGCTGCTTGAGACTTGGCCTTGCGCGGCTTAGGCCAGATCTGTTTTGCTGGCTTGGATTTCAGCAACGGCAATGGTGGCGGTGACCTCGTTGTCCTTGCAACCGCTTCTTGAAGGGTGTCTGCAACCGGGTCTTCTTCCTCTTCCGGTCCTTCGTCGGGCCTTGACCTTGGTGGACAACCCTTTTGTACCTGGCTCCGGGATGCGAAGTCCATCACCATCATCGCGGCGGCGCTTTGTACCTGCTGGCTCTCTCCGCGGGGGAGGATATGCAGGTTGCGCCGGACGCCGCCGGTCAGGCAATGGTTGTGGCCTCCTGCGAAGCGGCCCGCGCTCAGGCGCTGGCTCTTGTTTCACTGGCCTCGCTGGTCCAGCTGCGGGATGGCGGCGGCCTTGGTGAGTACCCGTATTGAAATGGGCCTCATTCTCCCGCTTCTGATGCAATGCATCCTTGCCAGAGCGAACGTTCGGGCACACTTCATCGCCCTTCCAACGGCCTCGTTGGCCACAACTGGCACAGGTGGAATTCTTCTTCCTGGCATCCGGAGTCCTGGTATCAGGTGGACGCTTGCCTTTGCCCTTCCCTTTTCCTTTTGACTTGCTTTCTCCTTTGTAGCCGCGGCCTTTGCGCTGCTGGGCCGTCCTTTGCTTGGCTGTCGAGCCGGCTGAGAAAGCTTCCTGAAGGGCGCCTTGATCCACTGTGTCCAGGTCCTCCTCATCCTCATCATAGTAGCCTTCATCGCCATCATCATAGTCTTCCTCCTCGGGCATGTCCTCTTCTGCCATGAGGGCCTCATGTTCCAGATCCTCGTTGTCAGGATCTCCAAAGAATCCTCCTCCTCATAGTCCCAGTCGTCCTCTGCGTCCGCCCAGTGAGTGTGGCGGGTTGGCTTGTACGGACCTCGTCGATCCGTGCGCTTGAACGACTTGCGAGGCAGCGGCCTGCGGCTTGGTGCTGGCTGCTCGATCTTCTCGATGTGCCATTGCCTTGCGTTCATCAAGACGAAGTTGACAGCGCCTGAAACGAAGTACCCGCTCAATGTCAGCTGACTTGTAAGCGCCGCCGGCGCGTTGGTCATGCGCTGCTGGCTGCTGCTGCTGCTGTGTGATCACTTGCGCTGCTTGTGCCTGCGCCATCATTTGTTGATGCTGCCACGCTTGGTATGCTGCATGTTGCTGCTGCTCTGCTTGTTGAGCTTGCTTCCACTGCTCTGCTTGCCGCTGCTGCTCTGCATACCACTGGTTTGCTTGTTGTGATTGCCACCGCTGCTGTTCTTGCCGCTGCTGCTCCGTTTGCTCTGCTTGAAGCCGTTGCGCCCGCTCTGCTTGGGCATCTTGTTCTGATTTGGCCGGCGGTGCCTGTGCCTGTGCGGCGGCTGGTTGTGCGGCGCTTGGTGCCTGTGCCTGTGCGGCGGCTGGTTGCGCGGCTGCTGCAGCAGTTCTCGGCGACGCCTTGAAGGCGGGTGCCTTGGGCGGTGTCTTTGGCGGTGGCGGTGGCACAGGCGGCCACTTTGGCGGAGGTTTTGGAGAGGGCTTCATCAACATTGGCGCCTCCTCTGATTCCTCTTTTGCCTTCTGGAGAGTCTTTTTCTTCAACGCCTCCCACTTGTTTTCTGCTTCTTGTTGACCATGTGACTCCTCCTCTTCTTCTTCAACTTCTTCTAATACCTCGTCCTCCTTGTCCTTCTTCATTCCATCGGCCTCGGCTTTCTTCTCCTGCTCTGCCTCCATCTTCATCATTTCACTGCCCATCACCCAGATCCGTCTTGGATCACGATCCGCCATGAAGCAGAGGCGACTGGGTTGCCAACAACCCAAAAAGTTTGAGAGACTGGTGAATTGCAGTTCAGCAGTTCTGTCAAAGTTAAAGCTCAATGTTGGGTCAAGAGTCCTGTCAACTGTCAAGGTCTGCTAGACTAGGGCGGTTTGTCAATTATATAATATGTTTATGTGTTTTGTACGTCTCACTGAAAATAATATGTTTATGTGTTTTGTCCGTCTCACTGAAATTGAGCCCGTCTCACTGAATTTGAGCGCCGTGGCAAGTAAACGCATACCTCATGCGTCTCACGTCTTAAGATTGACTATGCGGATGCTCTGAGGGCACCGACTAAGACGTCCATCAGTTCGTCAGAGAACAGCGAAAGCCTCGGCGTGCTCGTGTTTGTTTGGTTGTCTCAAGCAACACCGGGCACCGTGATGGTGCCATGATTCCTAGCGCAATACAACAATATCTTTCCTAGCCCAATACAATCATCCAGGAGTGTAGCTTCAGATCATGACCGCCGCAATTTTGCCAAGGAGGCGGCTTCTTGAGGTGAGAGTGGGTTGGGGCACCGTGATGGTGCCATGATCTCATCGTCATGGGTGGATGGGGGGTTTCATGGTGGATGGATGGATGGTGGATGAAAGCTTGGTTTCAAAAGAACACATTGAATTTTTGCAGACGCGCAGACAGAATTGAGATGCACCAGCATTGGTGACTGAGCAGATGCCATCTCGGCATCTGGTCTGGTAGCGCCATCCCGGCGCGACCAGGCTCAATTTAAGCAGCAGATTCTTGTTTCCATCCATGCCTCAGTGGATGCCATTCAGACCACATGTCAGATGATTTTCCCACCTTTTTCTTCTTGTTCAAAAACTCCATGGTGCTCTCACAGCAGCACACTCTCACAGTGTCGTGCACTGAGCCAGTGCCGCACTCTCACAGTGCCTTCCCAACCCATCCAAACCCAAAACCATAACAAGGAAAGCGACAAATGCACTCTGCCAAACCTGATGTCTTTAAAACGGCTACGCATTATAGACTCTTGCAAGGAAAAAGCATAAAACTCAAAACGACAAGTACACTGTGCCAAAACCTGCGCACTCAAAGACTGTATTCATTACTCTCACAGTGAAGCTTTTCAAAAACAAGATGGAATGCGAACATCTCTTGAAAAGTGTACCTCGCACGATGCACTCTCACATTGGCATTTGCTCAAAAAAAGATATTGAACCCACAGTTTCGTCTGATTGCGCGCTGCTAATCTGAAATCAAACCATTCCTTGTTCAAGGATCTACGGTTTGAATGGACACTCAGCATTTTGCAAAATATTCTCACACAAAAAACCTTTAATGTTCCTTAACCATACAGATCTTGAGCCATTATTTTCCAGCAGAATTTTTGGTTTTTAAAGACAAAAGAACTTTTAGGGTTCCTTG